TTCTTATGACTTTATTTATTTGAGTTCCCACTATGGGAGATGAAGATTTGGCTCTTTGTTTTTTGGTCCCCTACCCCACAAGCCACTTGCTTCCCATCCTTATATCTCCCCAGGGTATCTACATCATTATTTTGGTTAGACCAAAATTCACCATTTACATTATTCTGATCGTGTTAGACTAGGATTTCTGAAAGGAGGTTCTGTGGGATACATTTCCATAATGTCAGCAGGGGTAAGTCTGTGGTTTAATATGTTTGGGAAACACCAAATTAAAGTTCAAAACATGATTCCTTACTAAGTAAGCACTTCTCAGACTCTTTAGTATGTCAGTGTACTTCAGCGGGGACATGGGTATGTAATATTTCCCAGATGTTTGGCCATGGAACCCTTCTTGTACAGAGCTTCTCCATGGAATATAGTTTGGGAAACTTTGTTTTGGATTCATCTCCCTGGCTAACCAAAATTTCACAAAGTGAGAAACACTTTAACTTCAAATAATCCCCTTTTTGGAGAGTGAGAAAAGAAACTAGAGAGAATATGTGTATTGTTGAGGAATGTAAAAGTAAAAACACTGCAGGTACAGTATTCTATAATCAGAGATATTATGGGTACTAACACTGTATTTGGCCAATGTAACATAAAGATGGCTAATACCTTGAGACAGATGCCCTTGTTTCTTATTTTTAGTACTTTTTGTGTGCTAGAGAAATGTCATAATTAAACATGACCTTGACATTTATTAAAAAAAAAGAAACTGTAGGTTTGAACAGTCACCTCATTTGACCTCATTCTCCTTCCCAAAAGACTGACCAAAGCTCTCACGTGTCGGCTGGTAGCACAGAAGATGAAGAGCCTGCTAAAGGGTCAGGGCTTCCCAGATTATGTGGCCTCTTTTGGAAATTCCCAGGCGCAGGATGTGCTGGACTGGGTGCCCGTCTATTTCATCGCCCAGATGTCCCATGTGAAGGTAAATGGGGAGAAGCTGAAGACCACTTTGGTAGTGGTCTCCAGCGTGCACCTGCCCCTCTCACTGTGAGGAGACAGAGGCAGTGGGGAGGCGGGGGGCACCTGTTGAGGGGGTGGTTGGCTGTGGGTGGGAGTCTGGACTTTGTCGTCAGATGGGCCTGGATCTTGAATACTGATTTTGCCTGTAGTTAGCAGCGATTCAGCCAGCAATTTTTACGGGTTTGAGCCTCTTTTTCGTCATAGCTGTATTACTGCCCTGAGGGCTTGTTGAGAGTTAAAATCAGGTAACATTTATGGTGCCTAGTGGTCACTCTATAAATGGGGACCACTGTCAGTCACCATTCTGTTCCTTGTTGGTGTTAGGCAAGGTCTTCTCTAGGTATCATGATATGATAGGTGAAGTGTTAGGACTGTCTCAGTAAGACTTCATCCCATCTGCAGAGCTGTCCCATCCATTGTTCCCTGGTCTATAAAAGCACTCCACCCATTAGAGCTTTCAATTCTAAAGTTCCCAGAAGAGTTTAATGGAAATTGACATCCTACAAATAGGTTCCGGATCACATGTGGTTCTTCTGCCCACCTTTTTCTTTTGTCTCAGCAGTCAGAGTGTGGGCCGGCCCCTTCAGCGGAGGCGTGCTCTCCATCTTTATCCTTTAATTGCCCGGCTTTTTCTTGTCACTGTTTCTTCAGGCCTCTCATTATCTGCCTAGCACATTTATAGCATGGGGACAATGGGGTGAGGACTAGCTCACTAGCTCCGATCGCACCCTCCCCACTGAGTCCCCACCAGAGACCCGTGATTACTCAGTCCCTGCGGTTCAGCTAAGTCTTGGCTCAGCTTTGCCGCCTCAGTGAACCAGGCAGATTGCTTCCAGCTTCTTGCAGATGGGTTAAGATGTCCAGTTGTTACTTCTCCCTCAGAAGGGAAGACATAAGTTGTGGCGGGAGATGCAGCAGCGTGGACACACGCACTGCCGGGGTCTGTGCCAGTCGGGAGCTCAGAGGGCCCGGTGCGGGTTTCATCCCAGCCTTCCAGGCAGAGCCGGCACGAGAGCATCTGCTGGGCTCAGTTGACACCAGCTGCGTGTTGCATCTTCTAATGACAGGATATTCTCAAGGATTTTTGAGCCTGCAAATTTCTTAAGAGACAGTGCTAAGCCAAGGAATTCCACCCTTGCCTTTTTGGCCAGCACCAAATTTAGCAGGTATGCTAGCTTTGCATGCCCCAAAGAAATGTATTTTTAAAAACCTTTCATTGTGGAAAAATTTCATACATACATACACAAAAAGTAGAATACTCCAATGGAATTCCATCTCCCCATCGGGCAGCTTTAACATGATCACATTTGCCACATGAAGAAATTGTAAAACAGGAAAGAGGTCTGGAAGGCCCCCTTCACCATATTCCCTGTAGGACTGAGCAAACAAAGACCTTGGGGCAGAGGTCTCAGGCCCAGCTCCCGGTGTCCAGGCCTGAACTGGGCAGCTCTGTTGTGCCACCAGTGCCCTCCAATGAGAGTGAGAATTAATTTCTTTGAAAACTTAGGACAGCGCCTGTATACCCTGATGTAACATCTTAATTGCCAACCTATGAAATCAGATAAGCAAAAAGAAAGGACTTGAATTTCCTCTAAGTACATTTTAACATGATATGCAGTCAGGTTTAATTTCTGACTATTAATAATACTGTATTCCCTTTCCTCCTCCCCCCATGCCAACTTCTTTCCTAAGGAATCTCTGAGGTAGATGTAAATGGGTGGGTGCAGTTAGACCTGTCAGGGCCCTGGAGGGTCCATGGTTGGGGGTACAACTCCCAGGTAATGCTGGTCTCTTTAGAAACAGGAAAGGCTGGAAAAATTATGCTTTAGGTATTAAAATTTTTTTGGAGCATTGAGTACTTTTAAAACACATGCTACTTCTAAGCTGTTTTTATCTGAACTTCTAGAGTCTATTCATTCTCTTGTTCAGAACATTTTGTAATATGGGAAACATTTTATAATTAAAACTCTGAACTGCAGATTAAGTTTGACTTAAGGTTGTATAATACTCAAATTGATTAATGGCATATTATTGTACAGGATTCCTGCCAGCTCCCAGTGGCTCTGACGGTAGAAGTGAGATGGACTAAATACGGATCCTTATTGAACCCACAGGCTAAAATAGTCAATGTAACTGCAAATCTAATTTCATCTTCCTTTCCTGAGGTAGGCCTAATTTTAAAGATACAGGTTAAGACACAAGGCCAGACAAAACTCAGCTGTGATAGGTGAAATTTATTATTTTGTAAAAATAATTAAAATTTAAACAATCTGGATTCTTAAAACAATTTAGCAGTCATCATTTACTTAAAGGAAAAACCTCCACTGAACAAAATGGTTTTGTTCACATCTGCATTCTTGTTTAGATTTGATCTTTAAAATCCTTGTCAGAATTGAGTTATGAATGACACCAGTGTGTGAGGGACAACCTGAGTGAAAATTCTCTCTCTTCTCTGAGTTAGTGACTGACGAGCCCTCACGTACCTATCAGATTCATGAACTGACAGCTATTGGGTGAGGAAGGACATGGAAGCTGTCCCATCTTTGTTATCCTGATAACACACTGGAGGGCAAGGCTTGCATCACTCTGATTTTGTATTACAGACCAACTCAGGAAATGAAAGGACAATTCTTATTTCCACTGCGGTTACTTTTGTGGATGTGTCTGCACCTGCAGAGGCAGGCTTCAGAGCTCGGCCAACCATCAACGCCAGGCTGCCCTTTAATTTCTTCTTCCCATTTGTTTGATGTAAGTTGTTAAATAAGGAAACTACACCATATCTGCAAAATTCAGCACGTGTGGGGCCCACGGTCCCTCGGAGACATTCCACTTTATTATAACCCTTGAGATTGCCCCCAGACCAGCACACTTCCTCTCCACTCACTTCCCTCCTCTCGTCTCCCTTTGGGAATGTCATTCTACTTGGTCTGACATTAGAAGGGGGCATCATCTGGTCTTAGCCAGTTCCAGTACTCTCAACACATAAGTCGTATGTGGAAACCAAGTTGCACCTTTGAGAAGACAAGAGGACAGACCCTCAAGTAGTGCAGGCGTTGAGGGTTTATCCAGTTTATTCATCCCCTGCTTTAAATGTGAGTTATTTTTAAAATATTATTTTTAGTTCAGGTTTTCTTCCTTTTCAGGTCCTGCTGAAATGAGTACAAAAATAGCAAATTGTTTAAAATCATGCGAGTAGAGGACAAGGCCTCACAAGGGGATCTTCCCCCAAATGTCGTGTTAATTACAGTGGAGTCTTGGGTCTAATTGCCACTTCTGTACCAGGCATCAGAGCTAGCTTGCTCTCCAGTTAGTGGGCTGGTCTGGGATGCCACCAAGTGATTCCAAGCAGTTGAAGCTGGAAAGGATCTAGTAGGAGGGCCCGAGGGAAGGAGAGAGTTTATTTTATACATTAATTGTACAGTAACTGAGGAAAATGTTGTCAGGTGGCAGAACTAGGTGGAGCCAGCTAAAAGCTGGAGGATGCAGAGGAGGGGGCTGGGTACTCGAGAATGGCCTCATTGTTGGAAATTGTGGTTAGCTATTTAGAACAGCTTGGACATGTAAAAGACTTCTAGAATGTGCTGATAGCTAAGATAGCTTTCTTTTTTGTTTTTCAGAGTGCTCATATGAAAGGATGTACTGATCCCTCAATATACATGTGAAAAGTGAAAACTGTACATTTGGTGAGATTAAATTTTATATACGGCTACTAATTGTCCAGCTTGTTCATTTTCAAGCAAGAGTTAAGTGTTCAACATGAGAAAAATAGAGTTTATGATACATTTGTTACACAGTGTGGGGTGGGAGATTCTCAGTCACACCAAGATAAGAAATAGAGCTTCTGAAAGGCTGTGTCCCCCAGAATCCGAACCGGCAGCAGTGAGGCAAAGCCATCAAACCAAATCTCTCCCCGACATGGCCCCAGAGGGGCGGCTCTCTTCCTCGTCACAAGCCTATGAGGCAGGTCTTCCCTTTGGGCTGGAGAAGGTGTGTGTCTAGTTCACCTCCCCAAGAAGTCCATGCTGTCTCAATAGCTTGTTAAGTCTCTCAATTTCTTGTTCCTGTTATTACAAAAGCAGACAAATAACCGAATTTACCTTCTGAGCCTCACCAGGCATGTGGCAGTCATGCAGTGAGCCCCAGGCACATACTGGGCCACAGAGCTGAATGAAAACCACACTCCTCATGGAAATCACTCAGTCAGGGCCCAACAGTGACAGCAGTGAGGAGAGACACTAGGGGAGGGGGTTCCTGGTGAAGCTGCAGGTGAGGAGGCAGTGCCTGAGCTGAATCTGAAAGGACAAGGAAGGCCTGACCAAGGGAAGGGGGCTCTGGGCTAACGGCCCCATGAGAGCCGAGGCCTGGCTGGGAGGGAACAATCTGTAAACAGAGGGTGTTTTCCCAAGCACCTTCTTACCTTCTCAGAGCAGCTGAATTCAAGGTGCTGGATCTTGGTGGCCAGTTGTATGTTTATCTGTTTTAACCTTAACAGTTGCCGTTCTGAACGTGTCTTAACCGAGATAATTATCCCTGAAAAATAATGGTGAGGGTCTCTATGATACCAATTTCTGATTTAACCACTTGGAAAAAAACTCTGCATTCCTTATAAATGTATACAGTTGGGAAGAGCAGTGAGAAATAAAACAATCATCATGGCTTAAAGGCATCATAACTAGGAGGGTCAGGTTTTTCATTTCTGAGCTGCTCAGTACCCAGCTGAGACGTACTTCTTCGGCTTGCCTGGTGTGAGAAATCCTTAAAAATAATCACTGACCAGATGAGGGTTAAGCTCCTTAAGGGACCTTGTTCATAAACGTTCTGTTACTTAGCAGCACTAAGTACAAGTCTGGAAATGCTCAAGCTTGGGGTTGTCACTCTCCACTTTCTGCCTCCAGAGCTGTGGCCAGTTTAGTTGTCAGGCACTAACCTGAACCCTGGCTGGGGCAGGGCTCCCCGATGCCCACACCACAGTGGGGACAGAGCTCCCCGATGCCCACACCACAGGGGGGACAGAGCTCCCCGATGCCCACACCACAGGGGGGACAGAGCTCCCCGATGTCCACACCACAGTGGGGACAGAGCTCCCCGATGCCCACACCGCAGGGGGGGACAGGGCTCCCTGATGCCCACACCACAGTGGGGGATGAGGCCTCAAAGCCTGTGCTGCAGTGGGGATATTCTGCCCCCTTCCAAGTGTGAGTGACTGAGTCTGGACCATCACCCACGTGTGTGGTGCCCACTAGGCCTGGAAGAAGCCATTCCTGGTTCACAGTGTTCCTGGCTGTCCCACTGAGTCTGGTTTAGCCTATGTTCAGTCACGCTGAAATCTGATAGCAGTGTAATAATGGGCAGTAGCCAGTCCTCCTATGCCTCGCAGCCATTTTTTTTTTTTTTAGACCAAATGAACACTTCTCACAACAGTGTGATGTGAAGAGTACTGGGTAGTAGCTGGTTCATGAGTCATTTATAGTCTGTCACAGTCTAGCTCCCTCACATAACCTTTGCACAGAGTTATGTTTCTGTCCGAAAAAAATCAGTCGGCATAAGCATCTTCCACGTTATCTGAATAGCTTCCTTTATTTCCTTTGACAGAACCCAAATAAATGTTCTTAATAGGCTTTACTCTAAATCACTAGATCTGAATTGGCAGGTTCCAAAGCCCGTGTGCCCGACAGAGCCGCTGCACAGGCCCTTACCCTGCCAGGCGGTACCCAACAAAGGAGGCGCCTTGGGACTCACTGCGCCTGGCAGGGGACGGGCCTGGCTCCAGCAGGCCTCACTGTTGCTCACTTGGTCTCCTGACAACCACCCACAGCCCATCGGCTTGGGCCCTAGTCTAGGGATTCCCAAACCTGCTGGACACTGATCACCTGGGAGTGCTTCGTGAACAAACACCCGGCCTGGGCTCCTCCGCACCAGACTCGTCACTTAGAGCGCTGAGGGTGATTCTGACGCGGCAGGTCCACAGACAGGCGTTCACTGACGGCTGAACCACTGACCAGTCGCTCAGTCCACATAAAATCGCAACGCAAACAGCTTCTCTGAAACAGAGGCTCCCCACACCCACAGGGAGTGTGTGCGGAACAGGACCTGTGCCTAAAGTCCGGGAAAGCGGCGTTTCCCCCCGCGAGTTCTCCAGAGCCAGAGTCTACAGCAGGCTGACAGGTGTTATTTCCTCCCAAAGTGTCAGCTTGGAAAACATCGGCCGTTCTCAGAGCCTTCATCGTGCTCACTCGTGTTGTGATTTTCTGCAAGCTGGCAGAATCTAATGCATAGTGTTTCTCAGCTTCCTTGCTCCCCTCCCTGACGGTGTCCCTCGCAGGGTGGGACGGGGTTTGATAAAACACTCTTCAGGAAACACCTCGTGAGAAACAAAAGTACTTTGGGAACAGATCAGGGATTGGTCTATAACCCTTTCTACTAACATCTTTCATTAATCATGAAAATAGAGCCTAAAGGAGAAGGGCCCTTCCTCTCAGGGCACATGTCCTGGTGTCAATTTGTAACTACAGGTGGCAGTGGGACACCAAAGCAGACCACTTCATGTTTCTCTTGGCTGCCAGGAGAAGGACTGGGGGTTCTGTGCCCCTTCCAGGCTCTATGCACTGTCCCACCCCCGAACCCCCAACCCCAGCGCCCCCGCTCAGGAGCGCAGGGGACATACCATTGATGATCCGGGCCACCCGCCACAGCCGGAGCAGGATCAGCAGTCCTAGAGCCTCGAACTCATGCTCCCGGAACAGGAGGACGATGTCAAGGATGAAGGAAATCACCACCACGATGGCGTCCAGGATTTCAAACTTGTGGTGAAAGAACTCCAAGCGGAAGACAAATATCTTAAAGAAAATCTCCATCATAAAAAAGGTCAGGATGGCAAGGCTCATGTAGTGGAACACCTGAAGGGGAAAGGAGACACATGAGAGTGGTTCATGTGGCTGAGGTGGTTCACACGGATGAGCCAGCTTTGAATGTATCTGCCCAGTCACCAGAGAGAATCCATTCCCTTGACCGATCCCACATTCCTGCCAGCACCAGGCACTGGTTTCGGGCTCTGACTGTAGCTGGGAACATCACAGACATTGCTCTCTGAAGGGCAAATGGGGCAGTGGCAGAACTGAAAACATCCACCATGCCCTTTGGCCCAGCAGCTCCACTGCTAGGAATTTATCATACAGCTAAGTTCACATGTGCACAAAGACAGTAAGGATATTTACAGCAGCACCACTTGCAGAAGAGACGATTTTCTACATTATTTTTAGAACAACAGAAATGTTCATTAGACTAGGGTCCTTTTAAAAGCATTACAATAATAAAAATAAATGGAAAAAAAATTTTTAAAAAGCATTACGGTGCCTTCCCGTGGAGTACTACACAGTTGTTCAAAAGACCAAGGCTGATCCATAAGTATTTACTAGAAATGATCACCAAGGTGGATGATAAGAGAGTTCCCAGATCTAGATTTATAAATACTACTCATCACTAAAGGAACCATTTCCATTCTGGGGCAGGGAAAGTATGGAGAGCTGAGACATCATCCTGGCCTAGAAAGCAAGAAATACTCAAAGCCAAGAGTTGTCAAAAGGACAGAGCAGTCAGCTCAAAGAGGCTCACAGGGACCAAATCTGGGACCATTTAAAACTGAACACTGAAAAGAATGACTGTGTTCTTGTGATACACGCTAAGAAAGGCAATGCCAAAGAATGCTCAAACTATCACACAACTGCACTCACTTCACATGCTAGTAATGCTCAAAATTCTCCAAGCCAGGCTTCAACAGTACGTGAACCGTGAACTTCCAGATGTTCAAGCTGGATTTAAAAAAGGCAGAGGAACCAGAGATCAAATTGCCAACATCCATTGGCTCATTGAAAAAGCAAGAGAGTTCCAGAAAAACATCTACTTCTGCTTTATTGACTATGCTAAAGCCTTTGACTGTGTGGATCACAACAAACTGGAAAATTCTTAAAGCGATGGTTATATGAAACCACCTGACCTGCGTCCTCAGAAATCTGTATTCAGGTCAAGAAGCAACAGTTAGAACCCGACATGGAACAACAGACTGGTTCCAAATCGAGAAGAGAGTACGTCAAGGCTGTATTTTGTCACCCTGCTTATTTAACTTATATGCAGAGTACATCATGCAAAATGCTGAGCTGGATAAAGCACAAGCTGGAATCAAGATTGCTGGGAGAAATATCAACAACCTCAGATATGCAGATAACACCACCCTTACGACAGAAAGTGAAGAACTAAAGAGCCTCTTGATGAAAGTGAAAGAGAGTGAAAAAGTTGGCTTAAAACTCAACATTCAGAAAACTAAGATCATGGCATCTGGTCCCATCACTTCATGGCAAATAGATGGGGAAACAATGGAAACAGTGGCAGACTTTATTTTTTTGGGCTCCAAAATCACTGCAGATGGTGATTGCAGCCATGAAATTAAAAGACGCTTGCTCCTTGGAAGAAAAGCTATGACCAACCTAGACAGCATATTAAAAAGCAGAGACAATACTTTGCCAAAGGTCCGTCTAGTCAGAGCTATGGTTTTTCCAGTAGTCATGTATGGATATGAGAGTTGGACTATTAAAGAAAGCTGAGCGCCGAAGAATTGATGCTTTTGAACTGTGGTGTTGCAGAAGACTCTTTGAGAGTCTCTTGGACTGCAAGGAGATCCAACCAGTCCATCCTAAGGAGATCAGTCCTGAGTATTCATTGGAAGGACTGATGCTGAAGCTGAAACTCTAGTATTTTGGCCACCAGATGCAAAGAGCTGACTTCATTTGAAAAGGCCCTGATGCTGGGAAAGATTGAAGGCAGGAGCAGAAGGGGACGACAGAGGATGAGATGGTTGGATGGCATCACTGGCTCAACAGACATGAGTTTGAGTAAGCTCTGGGAGTTGGTGATGGACAGGAAAGCCTGGTGTGCTGCAGTCCATGGGGTCACAGAGAGTCTGACACACGGAGCAACTGAACTGAACTGATAAAATGATACTGCCTAGTCGATGTAGAAGGAAAGGCAGAATTAGAAATCACTGATTTGCAAGCCAGTGTGTTCACAGACTCATACAATGATCATCGATGGATGCTAACTGGGAAAGAAGTTTGTATGATATTCAAGTGTCACCGTGTGGATTATTTACAACTGCAAAGGGAAAAGTGTCCCTGGACAGTGGAACAGCTCAGCATTTACAACCTGAATCAAGTGATCCAGCAGACTAATAGCGGGTCCCTGGCCCAAGGTGCCATGACATTTAAAAATAAATTAAAAATAGCCTACCCTTGAAGAACTCTTGCTTTTTGAGCCTCTTGACCTAACTTGTGTTGTACAGGAAACAGAATAAAGCAACAGGGTGGCTCAGATGGTAAAGAGTCCACCTGCAATGCGGGAGACCTGGGTTTGATCCCTGGGTTGGGAAGATCCCCTGGAGAAGGGAAAGGCTACTCACTCCAGTATTCTGGCCTGGAGAATTCCATGGACTGTATTGTCCTTGGGGCACAAAGAGTTGGACACAATTGAGTGACTTTAACTTTAAAGGAGCTCAAATATAATATCAGAAATCTAGTTTGGAAAAAAAATGCACTATGAAAGAGGAAATTTGAATGAAAACTGGTTATTAGATACTATGGAATTATAACTTTTTAAAGTGTAATAATGCTATTATGGTTCTACAGGAGAAAAACCTCATTCTTAGGCATTGTTGAAGTACTCAGGGATGAAGTGTCACGACGTCTAACTTTCAAATGGTCAAAAATATATGAGCATGTTTGTGTGTATGAGTATAAAGAAAGCAAATACAGAAAAATGTATATTTGCCATTTTTCATAATAAAAAGTAAAGAAAAAAGGCACAAGACAGTGAACATAGGTGGTAAGTTACTGATTCTATTAAACAGTAGAGCGAGAGAAAAGATTATCCATCTACTAGAGGACTCAAGTGTCACAGAAGAGAACATTAACGGCTGCCTTGGTCAAAGGGGCCACGAGTAGGAAGGAGGTTTACTGTTTTCTTCCTGTCCTTTTGCCGGTTGAAAAGACAGATGCACAGTCCACTGAATTTTTTTTCAAAGGGTGTGGTGAAATGTTTTTAAGCCCCTGGCCTTCTCCCAGTTACTGGTGATAGGGTCACAGGGTGCATTTCCAGTGCACCCACTGCCCTCTGGATGACTGTTTGGGATGGGCCAGGCAGTAACTGTGAATAAGGGACTGAATGGTGGGCGCGTCCCCCCAGTGGCTCCAGCACAGGGACCACATCAGCATGATGACAGGAGGACAAACAGCCTGTCCTCCTCTGGGGAATGGGAAGGAATCCTCCTGGCTTGAGAAGCAGTGACAGACTCCAGCTCTGTCTTGGACAGCTCAAGATGCAAGCCTGCAAGCCATCAAGTGATCTGAGGTCTCCTGCTTGTAGGGAACTCATATCTACAACTGGGAAAGGAAGACATGTGCTCTGCTCTTTGACTGAAAGCACCCAATCAAACTACTCTCAGAGAAGCCCTGGGTGATTCTCTGTGGGTGCTGCTCCCTCCGCCCACCCTCAGTGCAGGTAACAAGAGTGAACCATGTTAAAGGGCTGTGGACACACTACCCTGGGGGCATAGTTATTCTTGTCGGGCTGGATGATCCTCAGGTCCAGAACGAGCTCGGCAAGCACCAGGAGGGCGTCCAGGACGACCAGGCAGATGATGATAACCTGTGGACCGAGGGAAGAAGCAAGAAACCATGAGACCTAAACAGGGACCTTCCTTCCATCTCTAAGGGCTGTTAACACCTGGATGTCAAGGATTGGAGGCCAGTTGCCCACAGCAGCTCCAGCGCCTTGCAGGAGGCCTGCTGGGAGCCGGCTCCTCTCACAGGAGCCCCTCCTTCCAGCCTGGCGCCGTGCCTGTCCTAAAGCCTCCGTGCAGCTCACTGACTGACCCTCGGTCACCACTGGTCTTTCTCTTAACTCGGAAGTTCACTGCTGCTTAGCATCTCTCGAACCAAACTGCTAATTCCTAGATGGCAAAAAATAAGTAGTAATGTTTTTTAAAGCTTTTGTGTTTCTAGTTCTGGGAACTGCTGCTTGCCAGGGTACACCCAGAACAGAGGCACAATAAATAAAACATCCAGTCTCAGAGAGCTAAGTCACAGGAGGATCTCTAGTGATGCCTCCTCCAGGCAGCTGGCTTAGGGTGACGTCCACTGTGCCCGTCGAACGGCTTCAGACTAGAGATCTGAGGTGCCCGCCCCAACCCCCATGTGCTCACTGCGGGGGGAGGGTGGAGTTCGTTCTGGGTGTCCTGGGAAACAGAGAGGAGCTGAGGGAAAGACAATCTCGTGGGTTTTGTGACCTGCTGGAGCGGGAGCTGGCGGGGGAGGGACTAGGGTGAAGTAAGTGGGTGGTCTCACCGATGGCGGTGGGAGTGGTCATGGTGATGAAAGTGGGGATGATGGTGAATTGGACAGTAAAGGTGGGGTGGAGGTGATGGCATCTGGGGAGATCACAGGGATGACGTGGGAGTGGTGGAAATGGCAGCAACAGGAGGAACCCCAGGTGGGGGGGTTCCTCTTTTTTCCCTTGACCCTTGTGTGACCTCTTTCTTCCCTTGAACATACTGAACTGTCACTTACTTCCCTGGGAGCCTTGCCTCTTACACTGTCAGGCAGATAGATCTGGACCTCTGAGAATTAATCTGCCGTTATCTTGGCAGTTTCTGCAGTTTCAGGTTGCAATTGAACCAGTTCAGGCCTATAAAGAATGGACTATTAAACCTTTTGACCATTTCGATCTGTAACAATTATGTCACTAATTAAAGTATTTGATGACATGGTTTATTGTTGAAAATTGTATGGCAAAGTGCTCTGTAATGAAATATTCACACAAATCTGAATTCAGTAGCTTAATGAAGACTCAAGCCTCAGACAACCTCTTTCCTTCTTTCCTCCCTCCCTCCCTCGTTGGTTTCATGTTGGAGCTAAAGGGATCTAAGAGCTTGTCTGGTTTAGAACCAAGGCACAGAGATATTAAAAACAGACTGGATATTCAGTCATAAAAAGGAATGAAGCACTGATGTACGCTGCAGTGTGGATGAACCTAGAAAACATTATGCTAAGTGAGAGAAGCCAAACACAAACGGTCACACACATTGTAGGATTCCATTTACATGAAATGTCCAGTATAGGCAAAAAGTAGGTTAGGGTTTGTCGGGGACTGGGGGTTACTGTTTAATGGGTACTAGATCTCTTTGGGGGCGATGGAAGTGTTCTGGAACTAGATAGTGGTGATGGCTGCACAACATCATTGTACTAAATAAATGCGACTGAATTACCCACTTTAAAATGATTAATTTGATCATAAAATGATTTAATTAATTAATTAATTTTAATTTCACCTCAGTTTTAAAAAGTGATCGAGAGACAGACCCAGGGTCACAAAACTGCAGTGCCTGGGTCCCAACCCTGGCCTCTATGAACTGACTGACTCCTACGGTTCTGAATCCACCAGTTCACAAGTCAGGACTAGTTCTGAGGGGAGTCACATCACAAGGAAAAACGCTGAGAATTCAGGGAAGTGGGTTAATTCCAAATCCTCACTGGAAGACAGCCATCCCTAGCAGCGGCACCCAGAGGGGCAGGGTGTAGCGGGCTGTGGGGCGGCCAGTCCTGGGCCGGCTCCCCTGTTAGCCTGGACCTTGGGCACAGCTCTCAGCTCTGCTGTGCCTTGGTGTTAGCTCTAACAAGCTTCAGTGTCCTTGCGGGGGAGACGGGACTTGGCTGCATTTTCCACCCCAACTGACAATGGCAGCATTGAGTGAGATCAAGTGTGATGTGCGCTCAGCAGATGGCCTGGCCACGGTCAGCAGGTGATAAAAGTGAGGCTCCTCCTGGCCTTCCTGGCCATGCTTCCCTGCCTGTCTGTGGCTACCACAGAAGCCTGACTCACCCCAAGTTCTCTCCTTTGGTTGGTTGGGCCATCCTGTGAGAAGTGACAACAGTCAACTATATAAGTCACCTTGGTCACCTCAGACCATGGGAACAAGTGGAGACTGCACCTGAGAGAGGGGATTCCAGAATCTTCTTGTACGTGGATTCTATCTGCAGAGATCAAACCCGTGAACCCTTACTCCCTACCCTGAGGTAGCCTCCCTGTTTCCACTCTAGGCCCCTCTACAAACTGCTCATGTCACTGCCTCCCCACCGCACACTCGGGACTCTCTGATAGATGCCCACTGCCAGTGGGTGGACTTCCAGTGCCTTCTTTCCCACTACTGGATACACACAAGCCCTGTGGACCCTTCTCAATTCGTCCAATGCTGAAGACTCTTTCCTCCCTCGGGCCCTTTGCAAACACGCCCCCTCTCTGCCTGGGAAGCTCCTCCCTTCCCATCCACAGACCTCACTCCTGCCCAGCCTCGTGGTGTTAGGTGAAGTATCACCTGCTCTGCCTCACATCCTCAACCGGGTCTCCCCCACCCCGAGGATCTCTCAAAGCCACTTCTCCTCTTTGTTTCCCTGCAGAAGGCTTCTCTCCACTTCTATCCAGTATCTGTCTGATTTCTGGAATGCCCACCTCTCCATGGAGCATCCATCCTCTGCAAGTGAGGGCAGGGATGTGTCCACCACGCTCACTGCCGTGACCCCGGTGATAGCAGAAGCTAAGATTCGTGACTGTTGAGTAAATGAATAAACACCTCTCCTCCGCTCTTCCCCAGAGCCACGTGGCCTGGGGGGCCCAGTCAGGAGAGGGGACCTCCCCAGGGCTCCCCTTGCAGCTGGGAGGAAGCTGGCTCCTTCTTTCTGCTCCTGAAATTGAGGGTTTGGGATTTCAACCCCAACAACATAATACCATGTTTCCTCTTCTGTCAGAGCTACAGAGGAAAGCGCTGAGCTGCCAGGAGTGCTGGGTTGCCTGCTTTGTTTCTGTAAGTCACACGAGAGTGAAAAAAAAAAAAAAAGACCAAAATAATTCCTTCTCTTTTACCCTGGAGCAAAGTCAGTGATGGGAGAGGCAAGGGCTGCTTCTCTCTACTTTCAGAAGGGACACCATCTCCAGGGAGGAGCTGGGTTATCATGGTTGAAGAGGGGTAACCTGCGGCAGGGGCCCCCAAAGAGTTCCATTCAGGGACTGGGCTGACAAGGAGCCTCCCGCTTTCTGCTGGGTCTCAGAACATGCTTCCAGACACCTGCTCACCCACGCTGGGGTGGCGGGATGGGGTTCAGACAGGGCTGGCCAGACTCCACTCACGTTGGGACTGACACTGAACCCTGTAGGAAGTCCTATTCCTTCTGCTACTCTTTGAAGTCTGCGTCTCCCTCTCAGGGTCTCCCCATAACCACACCCGGAGATTGGTGGTGGGCTGGTTACTCCAGGCAGATATTTTCAGCATCACTTCACAAGAGACTACCCCCCCCCTCAATTTATCCTTTCATTTCCTTTGTGTGTGTAGGGGGTAAATTTTGCATAACTTAACATTTAACATTCCAAAACTTAACATTTTTACTCCTTTAAGGTTGGCATAAAGTTCAGAGGCCTTAAGCACATTCACAAGGTTGTTCAACCATCACTGGTATCTAGTTCTAGAACATTTTCGTTACCTCAACCAGAAACTACATCCATTGCGCAGTCACTCCCCCTTCCATTCCCTCTATTCTGCTGTCTCTGTGGATGTATGTATTCGAGACATTTCACATAAATGGGATTACAAGACATGTGGCCTTCTGGGTCTGGCTTCTTCCACTTAGGATCATGTTGTCAAGGGGCATCCACACTATAGCATGTGTCAGTGCTCCATTCCTTTCTACAGCTGAGTAGGGGTGAATCAATTTTGTTTAATGTATTCATCAGGTGATGAATTTTTAGTTGACTTTTGGATTAGGACTTACCCTGCCCCTGACAACAGGGGACCTGCCCTGCACATGATCGATCGATCGGCGCTGGGTAGATATCTGCGGACTGAAGGAACTGGTGACAGAGATGGGGCCCCCACCTGACCTCGTGACTTTGGGCTGATGGCTCTGCCCCACCCAAGGCATTTTGGGCCTCTGCCCACCTACCTGAAACCTGTGGGCGCTGAAGAGCTTCCTCAAAGTGGTCCTGAAGTCTAGGCGGGGCCTGGGCACAGGGGCCGGGGCCGGGGTGGGCTCAGTGGCTCTGCCCTCCTCGGCCGAGGCTGCAGTGGGCGGCGGCTGCTCTTCTTCTTCCTCCTCCTCCTCATTCTCCCACTTCTTGTAGTTGATGTTCCAGGCATGGTAGTCGTCCCCGACGACGGTGAAGTGTTTCAAGAACTTGCTCATCCTCTCGGCGGGAGCCGCCCTGGCCCTGCGTGTGACTGCCTGAAGAAAGGGGGACAGAGAACGAGCGCTCAGGCAGCCTGTCCGTCAGTCTCCGGGGGAGCAGAGCCCCCTAGGCCGGGCCCAGGGTGAAGACGGTCCGGCGCTCAGAGCACCGTGCGAGCGCAGACCGTGAGGTCACAGTGGTTTTTCGTGCATTTATTTTTGGAATCCAGGGTCTCAGCGCCGGTGAGGCAACAGGAAACCCCAGACTCCGTCAGGCCTGCCACTGTGGTCTGGTTGGCAGTAACCAACAGGAGAGGTACTACTGCCGCCCAGTCACAAAACACCCACCACGGCCCGCACGTAAATACCAGAAGACCCAATAGCAGCGCCTGGTTCAGAGACCTCACAAATGAAAAACCCAGAGGTGAGAGTTGGTAGGGGAGGGAGAGGGCAAAGGCAGAAGTAAAAGTGCCCAAAGTTTCACACAAAAGCGAAGCCACCCTCGCCACCAATCTGTCCTAGAAAGGTCTGGGCAGCAAGTGGATTTTTCCTAAGTTCAGCCAGTGCTGTTTTAAATAATTATAGACAGTTGTTTAAAGACCGATGACTTCAAAGTAAAAAAGCAAATAAGCTTTACTTATTTACTCCTTTACCCAACTTACCCTCCCAGACATCAATTTTTTTCTAAAGTTCAATAATGAAAACTTTCAAGTATGGTTAAGAGAAGAGGCAATATGATCAGCATAACAGGAAAAGAGAGCCCCAAACAGACCCAGGTCACTGTGAGAACCTGGATGTGATGGCAATGGCAGTCCAGATCAGTGAGAAAACACTGGAGAAGTTAGGACACTTGGCTTTTCCAACAAGGGGGAAAAAAATCCTACCTCAGACCAAACAGAGAATAAATTTCACTTGTATTAATCTATATAAATGCATTTAAAAGAACTTTAAAAGTCTAAAAACAAAATACAGACAAGTATCTTTATGACCTCAGTACTGTGAAGGATTGCTTAAATAAGACAAAAAACACAAAATAAATCAATAGACCTGACTCACCAAAGCTAAAAATGTTTGTCTCTCACACACATATAAAGTGTATAAAGTAAGACACATCACAGACTGGGAGTAAATATTTGCAATGCATTTGATAGACAAAGATTCTAGCATCCAGAATATAGAAAGAAATCTTACCCAAAAAAGACAACTCCATGGAAAACTAGTTAATGGATATTACCAGTCAGGTCACATGAGAGGAAACCCAGATAGCCAAGACACTCAACTTCACTAATATTTGGGAAAAGGTGAATTGAAGTAACAATCACACTCCTTTTCATTCCTCAGATTGTTAAGAATTTTAAAATCTACAATAGCAAACAGTGAATGTGTGAAGCAATGGGGGTCTCCTGAACCCTAAAGGTAGGAACAGACACTGGCACCATTATTTTTCCAAGCAATCTGGTATTGTTTTGTCAAGTTGAAATTATACTAGTTAATGATCTAGTAATCCCACCCCGAGATAGGTTTCAAAGAGAAACTCGCCCACATGTACTCAAATCAGTGACATGTTCAAGAACGTTCACTGCAAACATTCACCTAAATGGTAGGAGATAGAGAAGTGAATTTTCTCTGTTCATGTGATGGAATTTTATACAGCAGTTAAAATGAATGAACCATGTCTCTGTGTATCACTGATGACATCCGTGTATACCTCAGCAGTACTGAACACAGAAAGATCACTCCCTTTCTTCAAAAACTTCCTTCACTGGCTTCTCAAACTCCACTTTCTGAGTCTCCTACTACCTCAATGGCTACCAAATACTACCATGTATTGTTTTTGGAATGTGTGAAAATGTGAGCATAAACATACAAAAGAATGAAATTTCTGTTTCTGACCAATGACACAGTAACTGGTATAAACAACTACACCAGTTAGAGTACCTGCCATAAGACGAGATAAGATATAACTCTAAACCTGGGTAAAATGTATGAAATTTACTTTGATCCTTGAGAGAAGAGAAACAAATAAGATGAGCCCCACAGTCACTCTAGCTTTCTGCCTGGAGGTACTTTTTGGACTGTGGAGACAAAGATTATAGTTCAGGGTTATTGAACTTTACTTCCTCAGGAATTTGCATGGCAAGGTACCAGAGAAAAGGAAGCAGTGCAGAGAGAAAACACTCCAAGTATTGGACTTAGGTTGAGTCCTAAACTTCACATGTGCAGAGCAAGACTCCATGAAACAGGGCAAAATATAACTTTCAGGGGAAAACAAAACATAAAAAAACTCTTAGGGAACTGTGAGCTGAACAACTACCAGAGATTTACATAGGTCTGGGTTGGGAGATCTGTGAGTTCCAAACAGTGAGAGTAGAGAGATCTTGTTGAATACTCTTGAGTATTCAGTAGAAATTCCAGAAAAGCCATGCCTTATATGTAGACCTAATCTAGCCCTCCAGTCAGGGCTACCTTAGACCTGTCCCAACTAAGCTTAAAAATAAGACTTAAAAAGATCATGCTTATCTCTAAGTAAATTAACTGCCTCTTGGAACAAAACTCAGTACTCTATTGAAGAAGACAGCAAAATACTCTCAACAATATAACATTCATAATGTCCTACAATAAAATATTACCAGACAGATAAATAAGCAGGAAAATGTGGTCATAAACCAATAAAACATCAGCTTATTAGCTCAAAAGGGATGGAGATAATGAAATTGGCCAACAAAGATTTGAAAATAGTTAATTATAAATATGTTCAAGGATTTCAAGGAAAACATGAACTTAATGAGGGAACAAATGGAGACTCTCAAGAGAAAAATGGAAACTATAAAAAAATCCAAATGGATACTCTAGAATTGAAAAACACATATATGAAATGAAAAATCACTGGATGGGCTTAATAGCTGATTAGATGCTGCAGAAGAAAAGATCAGGGAACTTAGAGATAAAAAACTGAAACTACCCAGCGGAAGCAAGAAGAGAAAAAAGGCTAGGGCTAAAAAAAAAAAGAACAGAGCTTCAGGGACATTAAGTTCCTAATATACATGTACCTGGAGTACCAAAAAAAGAAGAGAGGGAAAAATTTGGAGAAATAACACCTGGAAAAAATCTCCAAATTTAATGGAAAAATACAAACATATAGGTCCAAGATTCTGAGTCCCCAGAGTACCACGTGACACCTGACCTAGCACAGAAACCCATCAAGTGCCTGTTGGTGGAGGGCCCTGGTGCCTCCAATTGCTGGGTTCTGAAGGTTGGCCAAGGACCAGGCCCACAGCCAACCTGAATCTTTCTGGGTGGTTAGTGGCCATGATCCCCTCCACCAAAACACTTCATCTGGCAGATAGAAACCTCTTGCACTAATTCTCAGCATGGTGGGAACCTCAGGGTGTGCTACAAAAACCATATTCATATTTTATACAGAAAACTTTTTTGAAACTTTGCATCCAGTAAAGAAACAACTTTCAGTAATTTGGAATGAAAATATGGCACCCAGCAGAGCAGAAAACAACTCTAGTTTTAAGTCAAAAATTCGTCATGCCAGAAGCAGCAAAATTCCAGAAAAGACAAAGATCATGAAAACATTGTGAGCCTCGGCAGCTTCACCACCCACCCTGGACTCTCTGCTCTCGGCATCTGCGCCACACCACCCCCCCCCACCCCCCGCCCCTACCTTGCCCAGGCAGATGGAAAGACCGACTCAGCGAGTTGCCAGGACCACCAGCCTTAGTGCCTGGCCAGAAGCAGACCCTCTGTAAGCACCCGCTGGTATTATTATTCCTAAATAACAAACACTCTCACCTCCACTCCTCCGACTACTTCATCACCTGTGGATATCTCAGTTCACTGGTTACTGGGCCCAAACTGTCTGCCTCTGCAACCCCATGTGTTTAGTCATATGGACTGAAAGATTCCTTTCCTGGCTGAAGCCAGATTTAGTTGCTTCTATCATGTGCAATCTGGAGAATCTAGCCCAGTGGAGGCCCTGGCACTGAACTGTCCCCACTGCTCCTGCATTAACCCTTGCCGTCCCAGTATATTCTGGCCCTGCTCCCTCTGGGGTCACTGTTCTGTATCAAAGCCCACGACTGTGGTTCCCACCCGGACTGGGCTGTATCCTCTCACAGTGTGGACTTGGTTCTGTTTGACAATCTTGCCTCCTCTTGATTCTTCTCCCATCTCTGGCTGCTCTTCCCATACCACATCCCTGCCCCCACACCACCGCAAGTCCTTGAGTCCCTGACCCTGAGCTTGCCCTGGCACAGGGCCACTCCCCACTTTAGTGGTCTCTGCACATCTGTGTTCTCGAGGCTGCTCAGGTGCCAATCAGTCTCCAGCCTGCCATCTGGTATCCTGCCAGGTCATTAGTCTGCTGTGATCCAAATTGAACTAATTTCTTTTCTTTCCCCCCAAATCCACTTCTCCTTCCACACTGGCCTAGGTCATGGAGTCACATCCACCCTGCCGGTCAAGTCCAGAACTGAAGATCACTCTTGGCTCTGATCTCTCCATCAGGCCTGTCACTCTAACCTCCTGAACACCATTCCTGCTGCACCTTCTCTTCATCTCTCTCCTATCACTCTCACCTATTTTGGGGACACTTGCACCAACCTCCTGACTCAGCCTCTTAGCTCTGACCCTTTCTCCATCCAGTGGTGGCCAGGGTCACCTTTCTCCAATGCTGGGCTGGCTGTGTCCCTGCCCTTGCCTATCTCCCTCCCCCGCTTCCCATTACTTTCAGTCCCTCACCCCCTCACCCTCACACCCCCCCCACCCCCCCATCAACTGCTGCCTTCAGGACAAGGTCAAAGCTCTCATGGTCCCTTCCCCAGCCTCCACCACATTCCAGTTACACTAAATGCACTGTGGTTCTGGAATAAACCACTCTCTCTTGCTTCCAGTACTTCACATGACCTGCGCGCCCCACCAACCCCACCCGCCTGGAACACCCCCCATCTGCCTCACCCTAGTTCTTTTTCAGGTCTTACAGAATCAATTTTACCTCCCTTGGGAGGCCTTCCTTAACTGCCACACGTTGGGTGAGGGTCCTTCCTCTA